CCAGCATCCATTACCCTAAAATCCCAAAAACTGTAGTTTCCATACTTCTAATCTTAACGACTTATGTCTCCTATACTCTCTTATATCTCCAAAACACTGCCTGAATTAAGCAATTTGTTTGCTACCCTGGCAGTAATGAGCTGAGTTAGAAGGAATGTGAGCTGTGGGCTCAACCCAGCCAAAGCATTTGCCTTAAGCGACTCATAGAAATTAATGGGAACTAGTGGGATAATATAGCTATGGTTTTTTTTAAAATAACAGCTGCTACATCTCAGCCATGAGACAGAATGTGTGGGGGCCAAACATCACACTGCAGACTATGTAGCTTCCTATATAAATGTTTTGCAATCAGGAGAACAATTATGGGTCAATGATTAGAGTACAGGAAGTCCTTGACTTACGACTACCATTGTGTCCAGGATTTCTGTTAAGTGAGACATTTGTTAAATGAATTTTGGCGACCTTCCTTGCCACAGTTGTTAAGTCAATCAGTGCATATGATAAGTTGGTAACATGGTTGTTAAGTGAATCTGGCTTCCCCCTTGATTTTGCTGATCAAGGCTGCAAAAGGTGATCACATCATCTTGGCTAATAGCAATGGTCATAAGGATGAACCACTTGCCAAGCATCTGAATTTTGATCACGTGATCATGGGGAGGCTGCAAAGGTCGTAAGTGTGAAAAAAACATTCATAAGTCACTTTTTTTTCAGTGCCATTGGAACTTTGAACAGTCACTAAATGAACTGTTGTAAATCGAGGACTACCTGTACAAGGTTTGCATATAGACAGTTGAAGGTTTGATGTTAGTCATACCAAAAACAGGCTGGGAAAATCCAGAGGGAGGCAATATTTTTTCATTCCAGGTGTCCATTCTCAAAAGAAATCTATTGGAAGGTATTGAATGGAGGTATCTATAGGTAATCCTTGACTTAAAATTATTCATTTAGTGACCATCCAGAGTTACAATGGCGCTGGGAAAATGTGCTTTACGATTAGTCCTCACACTTACGAACATCACAGCATCCCCACAGATGTGACTAAAACTTGAGTGTTTTGACAGCTGGAGTGTTGCAACATCCCAGGGCCCCAGGGTCACCATTTGTGACCCAAAGGTGCTTTTTTTCAGGAGATAACTGGACTTATTTGTTTTTTCTTTTGAAAATGTTTCACTTCTCATCTGAGAAGCTTCTTCAGTTCTGACTGGAGGGTGGGGAATGGAAGGAGTTATATTCCTTGCAGACAGCTGGTCATTTGCATCCTTTTAGAGCAGTGTTTCTCAACCTTGGCAACTTGAAGATGGCTGGATTTCAACTCCCAGAATTCCCCAGCCAGCTGGAGTTGAAATCCAGCCATCTTCAAGTTGCCAAGGTTGAGAAACACTGCTCTAAAAGGGTCATTGAGGCCACTGGAGGTTTATCTGTGTATAAATCCTTCCATTCTTCTTGTCACCTTTGTTTAGTGAATCATTGCAGCTGTTAAATTAGTAACATGGTTGTTAAATGAATCTGGCTTCCCCATTGACTTTGCTTGTCAGAAAGTCGCAAAGTGACTCCTGAACACTGCAACCGTCATAAGTATAGCTGTCAAGCATCTCCATGTAACTCACATGACTGTGGGGATGTTGCAATGGTCATGAGTGTGGAAAATGGTCATCAATCACTATTTTCAGTGGCACTGTAACTTCGAATGATCGCTAAATGAACTGTTGTAAGTTGAGGACTACCTGTATTGGGATAAGTTAACTTGAGTTTTCTTAATTTTTGCAGTGCATTTTTAAAAGTGTTTACTACTTTTCCATTCTTAAATCTGAGGCTTCAGTTTTATTCTGTTGCTGGACAGGGATAATCACTTTCCAAGATTAGGCAGCTCCAGAGCCTTCTGCCATACTTGAGAACGGTGTACATATAATTTTTCTGATCATGTTGTTGTTGTTGTTGTTGTTGTTGTTGTTGTTAGTTGCGAAATCATGTCTGACCCATCACAACCCCATGGACAACGTTCCTCCAGGCCTTCCTGTCATCTACCATCCTCCAGAGCCCATTTAAGCTCACGCCGACTGCTTCAGTGACTCCATCCAGCCACCTCCTTCTCTGCCGTCCCCTTCTTCTTTTGCCCTCCATCATTCCCAGCATCAGGCTCTTCTCCAGGGAGTCCTTCCTTCTCATTAGGGGACCAAAGAACTTGAGTTTCCTCTTCAGGATCTGGCCTTCTAAAGAGCAGTCAGGGCTGATCTCCTTGGAGATTGACTGGTTGGATCGCCTTGCAGTCCAAGGGACTCGCAGGAGTCTTCTCCAGCACCAGAGTTCAAAGGCCTTCATTGTTTGGTGCTCAGCCTTTCTTATGGTCCAACTTTCACAGCCATACATTGCAACTGGGAAAACCATAGCTTTGACTATAGGTACTATTGTTGGCAGGGTGATATCTCTGCTTTTTAATATGCTGTCTAGATTTGCCACAGCTTTCCTTCCCAGGAGCAAGTGTCTTTTAATTTCTTTTAATTTCTGTCCATGTACTTAGTTGATTACATAATCCTTGCTACCAGAGCATGATAAATATCTCTGGTTCATTAACCATAATCTCAGGTCTTGGAGCTACCTAAAAGACTCAAATTCCTTGTGAACAGCAAACCTTTTGACAAAACAGTGGCTGGGGAAATTCGTGTCTTGGTCGCTTTTCAGTTCAATTCTAAATGCAGTTATGACACAAAGTTCTTTTCAGTTAAGTGCATTTGTGAGGTAAATATGATAACAACCTGATCTTTTTATGCCTGCTATTCTAGCAAATAGCAGGGAGGTGATTATCTTTTGATTTCATCATGTAAAGTTGGCTTGCCTTCTATAATGCCTCAGCCTATTTTTAATTTGCCTTTGCTTGAGACTAAAACAGGTGCCATTTTAATCACGAACCTCCACTTTGGAGAATATGTTCTGGAAAAGTTAGTATCAGAAGGTTTTGCCTTAGAAGGAGTGAAAGAGGGAATTGGTTTTCTTCTTTTCATCTTTTCCTAACATAATCCCCCCTCTCTCCCTCTCTCTCTCTCTCTCCCTCTCCCTCCCTCCCCATGATGAGAATATATCTGCTGAATATAACTCCACACTGGTGACAGGAAGGGCATCCAGCCAGTAAGCACTCAGATCCATTCAGTTGCCCAGGGTCCACCCTGCAAAGGATAATGGGGCCATTAAAAGAAGAAGATGATGATGATAGCTAATACCTTCCTCAAACTGATGTTCCTTGGGTGTATCGGACCAACAAACATGATACTCAGAAATGAATCTAACACAAGTGGAGGGTTCTTGGTACTGCAGAGGAAGGCTGACTTACAAATATTTGGTATTTAAAAATTAATTGAAAGAGCAGGCGTCAAATTTAGCTCTGCTGCGTCAGTACCATTTTCTTGACAGTATTATAGAAGTGGTTTGGAATTTCTTTTTCAGTCTATCTTACAACTACAGTTATGAAGAAGCACATAGGTAGTCCTTTATTTATGACTAATCCAGAGGTGGGTTCCTCCCAGTTCTAACCTTTTCTTTAGAAGAGGTTCCACAAATGTATAGTGCCGTTTAGAACCCGTTCCAGCTCCCTCTCCCCCCACCCCTCCGCCCGTCCACACATCATCAAGATGAAGAGCGAGAGGAGGAATTCTGGGAGTTGAAGTCCACAAGTCTTAAAGCTATCAAGTTTGAACACCCCTGGGGTTTTTTTTCCTAAAGGGTTAGGGGTGCAAGGGTCTTGTAACTTGACAGCTTTAAGATTTGCGTGCTTCAAATGCCAGAGTTTCTGAGCCAACATTTTGGTTGCTAAGCAAGAGCGTTGTTAAGTCAGCTTCACCACATTTGGCCACACCCACCCAGTCACATGACTACCAAGCCACTCCCACCTGGTCACATGGCCAGCAAGCCACTCCCACAAAGCAGGCCACACCTACAGAAGAGGTTCTAAAAAAAATTGAAACCCACCACTGGACTAGTCCTTTCCTGACAATTTGAAGTTCTGGCAGACTTACCTGAGCACTGTTTTTATGACCCAGTTCTGAAGGCTTGACAGTCACCCACCTTGCAGTCATGTGACTGGGCTGGGTTGCTATTACTGTGTTCCATGATGGTTTTGCCAGAAACCAGCATTTACTTCTGGTATTCAGCAAATCCCATACCAAACCATGGGTTCCCTTAATGGCCACAGCATTCACTTAGCAATCACCATAAAAAAGATAAGAAAATCATGAGCTTTTATGGGCCAACACATTATGGGCCTGACACCTAATCAAGCTACAATAGTTACAATGGTCATGACTTATGACCATGATGGGCAGGCTCCATTGAGGTCGTAGATTGAGCACTACCTGTACTTGCTTTCTTTCAGCATGTCTGACTGCTTCCATCAAAATGAAATCCTTTCCTAGGAGAGAGAAAGAAGAAAGAGGAGAGGAGAGGAAGAAATGGAGGAGAAGTAAGAGTAGGAGAGAGGGTAGGAAGGGGAAGAAGAGGAGAGGAGTGGGGGAGAGGAAGGGGAAGAAGAAAAGGGAAAGGAGAAGAGGAAAGAAGAAAGTAGAGAAGAAGGGAGGGAGGGAGAAAAGCAGGGTTGTGGTAAAATAAAATAGGCGTATGGGATGATAAGCAAAGCAACTTTTATGTGGAAAAATGAATATTTAAAATTGCTAATACACAATGTGAATAATAACAGTGGGAATGTATATTCACTAATGTATGTAGAAGATTAAAAATAAAAAACTTTTTTGAAAAAAAAATGAAATCCTTTCCCTCCTGGAGTTTCTTCAATGTGACGATACCAAATTGGGAAAATCATTTTCCAGCTGTTCTGCATTATACCTGTTTTGATGAAATGATCTATCTGCTCATTTCATTTGTCTGAATGAAGGAGCTTATTACCTGCCCAGGTGCATATCATGTAACTAGCTTGGGTGACAAGACTGACCATTAATTTGAATTTCTTTATTTCATGAATGTATGACTTAAAGAATCCCTTTCCTTCCACTTAGGAAACAGCCTTGAAATCTCTGGGAAATGAGGGCCTTTTCCTCTTCTCTTCCCTGGACACTAACAATGATTTGTTCATCAGCCCTGAGGAATTCAAACCAATTGCGGAGAAACTGACTGGTAAGTGTTTTAAGAATTTGAGAGCACAAATAACTGCTAACGTGTGTGTGTGTGTGTGTGTGTGTGTGTGTGTGTGTGTGTGTGTGTGTGTTCAGCATTACTCTGGAACACCTCAAGCAATTTCAACCAAACTTGGTACACAGATGACTTACTCTGTGAAAATAAATACTGTGGGGATAATACACCCCTAAAACACCTCGGGGGGAATGCTCTGTCAAGATACAGCCTGTTGTGCCTTAAAATGGCTTCTACTCTACTGGCGTAAAATGGCTTCTACTGTACAGCGCAGTGGAGTTGCCATGGTAACCGATTTGCAGTACTTCACAAGGGGGCTCCCTCTGGTAAGGGAGAAAATCCAACATTAGAAATTACGTTTGGTCCAGACATTTTCCCCCTATAAATAAATACCCTGGCAACGCCTGGTTATCAACTAATAACTGCTAAATATCGGTGATGTGCAAAAACATTTCTACCATTTTTTCCTCATGGCTTAAATATGTGTCTTAGACTTCTTTAGTTATGAAGTGGCTAAGCCGTGTGTGTCTATGTGGAAATGGCGTGTTTTTAATTGTAAAATGATGTTATATTTTTTACAACTTCCTTGTTTCCTTTACAGTACTTCCTTTAATTCACAAGGAGTGAGCCCAGGATGGAATTTCTCCCATTAATTTTGTTTTGTTCAGCAGTGATGTTATTGTCATTAGTAAAGAAAGATCCTACCTTTAAAAAAAATTCAGAGAATTGTGAGATTCCCCATTGTGCGAACATGGGGTCGATGCTATCTCAAAATGGCTTCCAAGAGGGGACTGTTCCAATAATGTAGAGTAGAGTAGAGTAGAGTAGAAAGAATAGAATAGGAATAGGAATAGGAATAGAATTATTTATTTGTCAGTGGACAACATATGTACTATGAGATTGGTTGAGCTCCCTCAGTGCACACACACCCTCAACACAATACAACTCACAGTAAAGACAGAAAATCCTATACCCAATAAATCATATTAACAGACACCCAGTCCTATTGCACCAGTTGTGAACATGCTATACTTTGCCACAGCCCTACAAGTCCATCATACTACATAGTTACGATGTTATTTCGCATTCAGGAGTCTGACAGCCCACAGGTAGAAACTGTTCTTCAGCCTGTTTGTGCAGCTGGCTATGCTTCTATATCGCTATATCTCTGTATCTCCTTCCCAAACACAAAACACACATTGGTCCAGGCCCAGTATGTTTTTTGCTATTTCCCTTTTTTCTTTTCCTTTCCCATCTTGGCAAATAGCCCCACCAAAATGGGAAGATTTTGTTTTGCTCTGCCATGATTACAAGCTTTGGAGCGAAGTGTTCTCAGGTGTGTGGATGCTGTTTATAGATACTTCGGTGGTGTAAGCAGCCTAATGCAAGAGACCGATGGCTGCTTGAAACCAGCTTTAATAGTTATACGGTAGCAGTTCTCTTTTCTTCTATAAAAGCCATAATACCATAAAGTAGCTACTACAGTTGAATTAGATATCAGGAGCTGTGTGGTGGCCCATAAAAAGTTCATGATTTTTTTTCAGGGACTGTAAAATTGTGACTTGAATTTCAGTTGTATGAATTCCCTGCCCTTTGATGGCTTGGGCGGTGGGGTGGGGGAGATATCCCTTGTAAATCCATCATGCATAGAAGCCAGCTCTAATAGATAGATAGATAGATAGATAGATAGATAGATAGATAGATAGATAGATAGATAGATAGATAGATAGATAGAT